GGAGCATCTGGAATTTAGACACGGAAACAGCAGAGAAAGTTGAGAAGTTTCGGGCAGGTTCGGTTAAGGGCCAAGCCTGCACCCTACATCCCTGCAGAAAAGGACAGTGAAAGGAGCACTTGGAGCTGCAGCTGAAGCCCCGCGGATGACGTGAAACGAGGAGCAGGACAGGATGTGATGGGAGTTAGAAGCTGCTAAGCAGAAAAATCAGATAAAAGCAGATGAAGGCATCTGCCCCTCCGGGTGGAGACAAGAGGTCCATGCCTACCTGAGAGACAGGCAATCAGGGAACTTCAGTGCTTAATGTGATTTAATTGATTGGTGGGCGAGGAGGGTGTTAAACAGCTTCTGCTGAGAACACCAAACAAATACAGCTGCAGGTCTGAGTAATCTGCAGGAGAGAGAAAGCACCTCCGAGTTGGCCATGCAGGTCTTTGGCCTGTTCTGCCAAATTTTGAGTCCTGGCATGCTGCGGTGGCTGCAGGCTCTTCCTGGGGCTGTTACTTCAGCAGAAAGTGCAGTGATGTGATGAGCTGCAGATTGCTCAGCCTGACGTCACTGCCCAGCAAAATGCCTGAGAAGTCAACAGGGGATTTGGGCAATAAAGAATTGAAGGATTGGATTCAAATTAAATTATGGCAGTCGAGTGGCTTTTCAGGAAACAGTGTTTGTCAAACAAACCTGATTTCGTTTTCTGGTGAGACAGCAAATTTAGTTAATCGATGTGTGCGTGTTTGTGTGCCGTACACAGCGTTATGCAGGAGAACTGTGCCCCTGCCACGCTGATTTCAGGTGAGGAGCTGACACACGGCAACATCTGGGAAGCATCAGCAAAGTGAAGGACTGGATGATTAAGAGACCTCAAAACGAAGCTGTGAGAACCGTCACCCCAAAAACCTTGTGTTTCTGCAGGAATGGGGCACCCACAGCTTCTCTGGGAACCTGTCCCAGTGCTCCCACCCTCTGCGGGAAGAATTCCTTCCCCATGGCCCATCTCCATCTCCCTCTTCCCGGTTAAACCCGTCACCCCTTGTCCTGTCACTCCCTGCCCTTGGGAAAAGCCCCCCCAGCTTCCTTGTAGCCCCCCAGGCACTGGAAGGGGCTCTGAGGTCTCCCCGGAGCTTCCCTTCTCCAGGCTGAACCCCCCAACTCCCCCAGCCTTCACAAGATCCTTTCCCAACTTCTCAAACCAGTAGCTGTGTTCCTGTGAGTGGTTTGTGAGGTTTTGCCAAGCTGCTCTCAAATTTCACCTGGTCCCAAGTGTCGTCTGCGGGGAGAAGTGCCCGGGTCCCGCCAGCTCCGAAAGAGCTGGAGATGTTGGCATAAATGAAAGTCAGTGACGTGCAGGGTCTCATGTCGGTTACAGAATGGATCCTGGTCATCGTTTGCTGGAATCAGGTGTAGGTAGGGAGGAGTTGGTACAGGTTTAAGGATGCTCTGGCAGCAAGGTGGCACAGCCCTCGACGTCTTCCGCAGCTCCTTTGTTCCGCTTTGCAGCCCGGGGCGCCGCCTCGCGCGCTCGCTTTGCGCAGCCCCTTGAAGGTTCGGCCTTCGCCCTCGTTTCCCTGTGGCCCTGCCGGAGCGCTTCTTGACTTCCGGGGGTGATCTGCGTGTGCTGAAGCCGTTTGTTTTCCTCAGCTGTTTCCTGCTGTGCATGAAGGATGACAGCATCGAGGGCATCTACGACACGCTCAAGCAGTGCGCCCTGATCTCCAAGTCTGCTGGTGGGATCGGCCTGGCCGTGAGCTGCATCCGAGCCACGGGCAGCTACATCGCGGGGGTGAGTGTGCAGACGGTGTTCCCGGTGGAGACTGACCTGGGATCGGGAGACGTCTGCGTGTCAGGTGCCACATCAATGTGGCTTGTGCCGAGTTGGCTTGGCGCAGCAGCCCTCCCCTTCCCCCTGTGTCTGGGGCTAAAAGCTTCGTTTCCCTCAGTGTTTTGGCTTCCTAATGGAAGTCCTTCCAAAACGAGGATCAGTTCTGCTGTTTGAGCAGGCAATTCCAATTTATTTATGGGTTTAAACCTGTGGATAAACTGAGAGACTCGTGCGTTTGCCCTTTTCCCTCTGGTGTGTAACGGCTCGAGGTCACCTGTGGACGTGTGTTTGGTTTGCTGGCACAGTATGTGTCACCCACAAGCCTTCCCATCCCATAGTGTAAGTTAGGAGTGACATTGTCCAAACCCTGGGACCTCTGTAGCTGCTACGTTTTTGTCTACTTACAAACCGGAGGTGGGGAGAGGGGGTGCCAAATACCAGGGGGGAAGGGGCTGCCAAATACCCGAGTGGGGCGGGTGGTGCCCGGCTCTCAGCAGCCTGCTGGCAGATGTACAGAGCACCTTGCCCCGTCTCTTCAGGTACTTGCTTGTCAATAGTGATGGTTTTCATGTGCCTCTGCAGACGAATGGGAATTCCAACGGGCTTGTTCCCATGCTGAGGGTCTACAACAACACCGCTCGTTATGTGGATCAAGGCGGAAACAAGGTATTGGCTGTCCCTTAAAGGAGGGTCAGGAAGGGAGCCTTGGGTTGGAGGGAGAGGTTCCACATTGTAGAATCACAGGATGGTTTGGGTGGGAAGGGACCTCAGAGCCTCCCCAAGCCCACCCCCTGCCACGGGCAGGGACACCTTCCATAGCCC